AGAGGTCATCATCAATGAGGACTTTAAAGCTCCCATCAGACTTATTGACATCAATGTTCAAGGCACCAATTGAGCCTCCAATTAGCAGTGATAGTAAAAATGACAACGTAAAACACTTCATGTTTAGCTTCATGTACTGCACTCCACCCAAAATGTCAGTGTCATGAATTTTATAATTTATTCATTACCATTAATTTAATCAGACACACTGTGTTGTGCTGCTATGCAAGACAAAGGTGCTAGTATTTTTGTATTACTAATTATTGCATCGTCTAAAAAAGAAGAGAGTAAATAAGGAAAAAGTAAGAGTAAGAAATAGTCCACACCTTAGCAATAGCATAGTCCATAGTCTCACGTAGTCGTAGCTAGACTATACCCTCCTAGCAATAATACTTATACAATCATTTCTTATAAAACTTACCTCATCACTAGCAGTCACTACAACAATAATGGTCTTATTCTATCATTCATTTTATGCTTATCACTTTCTTTTTCTAAAAAAAACAAAATACTTTGCCAAAGTAGCCATTTTATTAAATAGGCGTGGCTGAAATTAATTTTGATTGGTTCATCATCTTATTAGATCCCTAATATAAACAATTCATAATCATATTAATATTTCGAAACTTGAATCAAAATACAAAAAGCAAAATCAGGAGATATGTCATCAGCAGATATATATATAGTTTGATTCTATAGTCAGCACTCAAGCAGGGATATCATGCAGATGTACATTGTCATTGAACGACTGAACTTTTTTTAGATGAAGGTTGAACAACTATACTAGAAGATGTAGTAGCAGGTGGTATTGGTATGGTAACATTATGGAAAGGCACATCAAAACACAGACTATTAATATCAGTGGATTCATTTTCGGGAAAGTTAGAGCACTCAAAGTGAGGCGGCCAATTCAATCCCCACCGCTCCCGCATAAAAGGTTCACAAGTATTCCTCACATGGTTACAGAGACCCCTGCAGGGTTTAAGCGTGACGGTTCCTTCGGGTCCCTCAACACAAGCCGGGGTGTACACTGCACAAAGAAAGTGAACGATGGCATTAGAGCATTGATGTGTAACAAGAGGTTGAAATACATTCGCTTCGATGTTTGCTTTGCTCTGTGCCGTCCTACGTCCTTTGACACTGGGGAAGGAGGCATTTCCTGCCCATGGCACATAAAGACACATGGCCACACCAGTTATAGGTTGACATGTACTGGGAGGGCCTGGGGGTAGAGTGCTCACCGGGAGAGTCGGCTGCCCCATAAATGTCGAGAGATGAACAATAGTGAGGAAAAGAAGTATTACAGGAGACATTGTGAATGTGAAATATGACTGTTCTAAGTGTTCTTTCTGATTACGAGTTTCGCTGCTTTCGCACTAAAAATTTTTCACACTAACCACCAGAAGTTGAGACCTGATTTAAGATGATTTCTAGTCTGAATCAGCCCTGATATCAGTCTGAATCATGGATATTTGGCAATCAGTCACAATACAATATGAAATCAGGCATGATACAATTATGATGAATTTTTATACTGGTTCAGGCCAGAGCAACAGCGATGATCAGCAATGATGCCTGTCAGGACTGTACCAATACTGATATCAACTTGATTCATTAATTTTTGGCAGCATTGCTGATTCAGCCAAAAAAACTCTTGGGTGCGTATACCGCAGAGCGATCAGCGATGAGGAAATGATGCCAATAACAACATCACTTCCCTTCACCTCTTAAAATTATTTTTCTGAAACTGAGGACGAATAATAATCTTAATTGGTGATAGTCATTTTGAAAATAAACCCAATTGAAAAAAAATATTAATATTTCAAAAATACAAGAAGCAAAATCAGCAGATATACCAGACATATCAACACACAGCAGATTATACAGCTTGAGTCTATATAGTCAGCATTCAGCAGCAATATTAAGCAGATGTACAAGAAAACGTATTGTATAGAGTCCCTTTCATAGCAGCAGTTCCATCAGGACCAACAACACATGATGTAGTGGCAACATCTTCAGTCAGTGCATTCATGAATGAGACGTTGACAGTTTCACCGGCTGTACCGACCATGCTGATTACAGTGATGTCATTCCTCAGGGTGACATCTACAAAGCGTGTATGAGAAAATGTAATTACTTTATCCAATTCTCCCAGTATGACTGTATCAAAAGACGTGATGAGTGGACTAAGTACCCAATACTGAAAGTCAGCTCTACCACAAGAAGCTAGTGGTATACTGGAATCATTTGTTGTGACATTGAGCTGCTTTGTGACCTTGCCACCAAGCTCATAACTGAATGCAACATAATAAGGCCAGTTTGTTTTCGGTTGAACATTCACAGTTACTGGTAGTTCATAAGGCTTTAATTTATATGCTTCATGAAGATCAGCAACAAGTATATAGTACACACTCAATTGTGACACCTAAGAGGAAATAACTGTAGTTATTATCATTGACTTTTTAATGTTAGTCCTTATG